GTTCAGCTTGGGCTACATAGTGAAATCTGTTTCAAAAACCAAGAAGCAACAACAACTAAACAAAAACCAAAAAGAAAAGAAAAACATTTTTTTAAAGAACGAATATGGTTTCCTATATATTAAAGTAAAATGTACACAGTATATTGTTAAAGGGAAAAAAGCAAGCTATGAAACAGCAAATATAAACCTAAACAAAAGAACTCAACAAACATCTGTCGATTACATTTTTGGGAAGAACATTCTGTTCATGCCCACGTCTCCATGTGAGCACATACATGCTTTGCCTTATTCCCGATTATATCCCAGTCTGTAACACAAAGAAAAACAGGCTGAGCAAGTAAAAGACTAAGCAACAAGATCCAGGTGCTCCCTGAGGCCTTCTGGCCAAGCTAACAGTGGTGGGCCTGCAAGTGGGTTTAGGAGGCACTTTCATCATCTTAGTATCTTTCTGCTATTTTCTGAACTTTTTCTTTTTAAAATTTTATTTGTGTATTGAGTGTCTTGCCTGCATGTATGTAAGTGCACCCATGTTGTGCAATGCCCTCAGAGGTCAGAAGTGTTGTATCCCCAAGAACTGGTGTTACAGACAGTTGTTAGCTTCCATATGGGTTTTGAAAACCAAACCCCAGTCCTCTACAAGACCAGCCAATGCCAGTGCTCTTAACCGATGAGCCATCTCTCCAGCTCCCATATTTCCTGAACTTTTTCATAGTGCCTCCTATGCTTCTAATCAGGAAAGGAAAACAGCCAGAGGCAGTGGGTATGAGAGAGCCAGGGCAACGGGCTCATTAAAAGAACAGTGAATGGGCTGCAGGCTTCCATCATTCTACCCATGCCCACTCCACCGAGACCTGGCAAAGGTATGCCCTGGGAGGAGGGGTGGCCTGGGAGGTCCAGGGCAAGAACTAAGAGTACAGAGAGCCAGGTCTTCAGGAGCCTGTTGGAGGGAATATGAAACTCAGAAACAGCCTGTAACTGGCCTGAGACCACACAGCAGGCAAGGGACAGGTAAGCCAGGCCTGGTAAGCATCAAGATAGTTGGATACTAGATGAGCTTATGCTCCTTAGCTCTGTTTCACAATTGAGGGAAAACTGAAGACTGGGGGTTATAGAGCTAGAGGCATTGGAGACAAACAGACCCAGGGATCAGTCTAAGACCTGTCACTAAACTCTTATGGGCACCCACCCTGGTGGAACATCAGTTCCCTTCTCCTAGGAGTGAACAGAAATATCCACACCAAGTCAAGTGACTTACACAAAGCAAGTGGAGTCTTCCATTTGTGGTGGCAGTCAAGGCTGGCCTTTAGGATTCCAAGGTCATGCATGTCTATCTTTCTGGACTTGGTGACCCCAGTACCACAGCTAAGGGTCAGAGTATCCACAATGTCCACAGAACCCCTCAGGGAAGCCCATAGAGACTTCTCAGTCTTGGAGACAGAACAGGGAGGGGCTGGATCTGACTGATTCAGAGCTTCCCCTGAAGTATTGCTAAGATGGCAGAACGGAACTCAAGACTATGAACAATGGTCATGTTGTCACTGTCCTTGGGACCAGGGCAGGGTCCCTGATGCCTGCCCTTCTCTTCCAGGCCCAACTCCTTGCAGTTGACAAAGGGGTCCTCATAATCAAGGTCATATCACCATTTCCCAGATCTTATGGAGCAGTGAAAGGACAGGGTACTCAGTGGCCCAGTGGCCCAGCCAGTCATAGGGGCATCAAAGTAAGGAAGGCCAGGGCCAGAAATCCACAAACTGCAAAGTTCCTTATGTGCAACATTTTTGGCAAAGGAAGGCACACAGGGATAGCAAATAGGTCAAGTAGAGGAGGAGGGGTTGAAAAAAATACATGAGGGTGACACTGTTTTGGAACTCCATGGTGGAGTGGTAGCTCTGTGGCCAGATATGCTGGTCCCAGTTTACAGAATGCCTGCTCAGAGAAGGGATTTTTGCTGTATGTAAATCCTTCTTTAAATCTTGTCAAATGAAAAACAAAAATCAGCAGTGATACGGGCACATAGGGCTTTATTTTAACACTATTCTATCTACATATATGTTTGAAATTTTCCAAAACAACTACTAAAATCATGCCCCAAGACCTCCCAGGACTCCTTCCAAGCTTAAAGTCAAAGGCCTTTAGCTGTGCTGGTCCCTCTAACCTTCCCAAACATTGATCTACTACAGTCATAGGGCTTCCCTATGCTCTTTAAACTTACCTCAGCGCCTTCCTTTCGCTGTTCTCTCTGCCTGGAATGTTCTTCCCACTCTACCACATCATCCAGCAACCAGTTGAATCTCCCTCAGGGCTTTGTCTCCTTCTAACTGACCCTTCCAGTAGAGCAGTGTGCTGCAAAACAGGGAGCTTTGTGTGCTTTGCTCATTGTGTCCTGTCCTAGTTACTGTCTACTGCTGTGATAAGAATACTCCAAAACAACTTGGGGAAGAAAGGGTTTATTTGGCTTACAGTCCATCATCAAGGGAAGACAAGGCAGGAACTCAGGGCAGAAACCTGGAACACAGACCATGGAAGATAGTTGCTTACTAGCTTCCTCCCCTGGCCTGTGCTCAGTCTGCTTTCTTATATAAGACCACCTACCCATGGGTGGCACTGCCCACAGTGGGCTGGGCCTTCCCACATCACTCAGCAATCAAGAAAATACCCCACAAACATGGCCACAGATCAATCCAATGGAGGAAATTCCTCAATTGAGGTTCCCTTCACCCAGGTATGTCAAGTTGACAACTGAAGCTATCTAGCACATGACCCCCCAACAGTGCCAGAGCCACATGAGATGCTCAATACATGCTCAGTGAATTAAGAATACCCAAATCAGATCCACACCTCTCCCCAGCAGGTACAACTACAGGGAACTTCCAGCACTCAGTCACTCAGTGACTCTGCAAACATTAATTGCTCACTTCTTTTATTTTCCAGAAAAGATATTATTTATTTGATTTTTTTTTTTTTTCTGAGGCAGGGTTTCATGTAGCCCAAGTTGATGATGTAGCCGAGGAAGTCCCTGAATGCCTAATCTTCCTGCCTCTACCTTGCAAGTGCTAGGATTACAGGCTAACACTATGCCTAGCTTGCAGAGGGAATTTCTGCAGGGCTTAAAGACTCAGCAAGCAGAGACATTTAGAAGTAGGGGAGAAAGAGGAGAAGAACCAGACATGTTCTGGGCCCTGGTTATCAGACAAGACTCTCCCGTGGTCCAGGCTGAGTGAGGCACTATGTCAGGTAGGCATAAGTGCAGAAAAGAGGGCTTCCCTAGGAAGTGATGCTTGGGCAGCCATGCAAAGGCCCAGCAGCACACTGCTGAGTGGCCTGATCAAACACTGTCCAGGAACATAATCTGGCCCTGCAACTCAGCATACATTCTTTGGAGGTGAAGTCACCTGAGACTTGAAGGTCTTATAGTTCCAGTTCATGATTGCAGCCAGCCCTGACTCAGCCCTCTCTGACCCCAGGATCCCTTTCTGTATATAATGACCCCAACCTTCTTTTGTTTCCAATGCCCTGACACAACACACAGTTGTTAAGTAAATTATTTGCTCAGAAAAGATAGTCTCAATAGTCATCTGACCTTATCAAACAATAAAAAGAATCCCAATAAATCAAAATGAAAACTTAATGGGCACAAAACTAGACAAAGGAGTTTGTTACATGGATATGCAAATGACCTAGCAGGTGGGAAAGAGGTGCCTATGCCAGTTACTGCCAGCTGAGATGCTGCTGAAATCAAAAGGACAAACATTCATTGCAACTTACAAAACTGTTGGTAGCCATGTAAGGTTGTGCATCCACTTTGGGAAAGGTCTGCCAGTTTCTTACAAAACCATACACCTGCCATTACACCCAGCCATAACTTTCCTGCGGGCTACCCTAGGGGAGTGTTGCCATGAAAACTCCAAGCAATGGGCCAAACACATCCACAGCAGGTTATTCAGAATAATCTCACACCAAAACAACCCAGCAGGTGGATGGCTAAACTGGTGCATGTACACTGCAGAATTCTTGACACACAGTGAACAAAATAGAAACAACAACATGGCTAACACAGGTAAATGAGAAAGAACCTAGAGAATAAAAAGTAAATATTGTGTGGTTCCATTTTATAGGCTGTTCTTAGGAAAAGCGATTTGGTCAATGGTGTTAAAAGTCAGAGTGTAGTTACCTCAAAAGGTAGATACTGATTGGAAGGGAACCCTGGGGACCCACAAAGCTCTCCATTTTGCTTCTAAGTGCTTACTTGCCCCCCTCCCACTTGGCACTGGGGACTGAACCCACGGTCTTGCAAGCACTCTACTACTGAGGTACAGCTTTCCTCAGCTTCCCATACAGCCATCTATGTGGTGGTCTTATAAATGCCGGCATCAAGTTTGACCTTAACAAAATTGGACCGCGTGCCCATGGCAGGCTTTCCAGATACTCTTTGCGGAGGTCTAGGGTTCTGGGGAGACACTGGATCCTGGTGGCTAGCTTCCCAGGGATCTCATACTTCTGTCTCTCAAAGGAAGAGGTGGCTTTCCAGTTTTCCATTAAGTTCAATAACAACCCTCAGGATAATCTCTCCCCATCAGCCACAGCTGCTCTAGGTGGATGGGCTTCTCAGCACCAATCCCTCCCTGCAGAGTCCCAGCTGAGATCAGGTATGCCTTTTGCTCCCCTGGGCCCGGGCTTGTTCATCTGTAAAAGGGAGTCCCGCATATCTGTGTTGCAGGCTTGCGGTGAGAATTTTAAGTGCACGCAGCGAGACCTTATTGAGAGCTTTCTGCATACCCAGGCTTGGCTCTACATGAGCCTCGCACACAACCAGTGTCTAATATTCGTCGTGGGGACAATCAGAATTTCCCTACAAGTTCTGTTTTTCCGGTTGCTTCTGCAGTAAAGGCGAGGAGAATCCGCACCCGAGCGGGGTCACCGCGTAGAATCCTTCCAGGGCCGCCCGCGGCCCCTTTAAGAGGCAACAGGAATGTATCTAAACACACAGGCCCGGAATGCACGTGACTCACAGCTGATTTCCGGCCCCACCCCCGCCTCCTGGCCGCGCCGCCCCAGCGTCGGTTAGCACAGTGGTCCCCGGCCTCGGCCCCGCGCGATGGCGCACGCGGCCCCGACGGGCGCGCAGGAGCAAGGCGGCCCGATTCGCGTGGAGCACGACCGCCAGCGCCGCCAGTTCTCCGTGCGCCTCAACGGTACCGCGCCGCCTTTGTTCGTGCGCGGGCGGGACGGGGCGGGACTGGGCGGACGGACCCTGGGCGGGAGGGTTCCCAAGTACCACGGCCTTCGGGGCGGGACCCGCGCGTCCTTCCCGGCGGCGCACCTGCTAGCGTCGCCCGCTTCCGCCGGCGCCGGCGAAGGGCTGCCGCTCGGATCCCAGACAGCCGGGCGCTGGCGGCCTGCGCCTCCCGGGGCATTCGGTTGCTCCCTGCAGCCAGAAGAAGCTTGCGGGGGACTGGGGGATAACCCAGGGATCGTATGGCCTGGAGTAGGAGGCGGGTAGGTGGCTCTGGGGCTTTGGCCAACTTGCCTAGTCGCGGGGAGCCTCGGTTGCTCGGAATCCTCGTTGGGCATAGCATAAGTGCACACTGCATTGGCTGGCGGTGATGGAATAGGATCAGAGTGACATACTTTGGTACACAGCAAGTGCTGATAAACATAGATTGATGGTTATTTTCTAAACCAGAAAGCAAGGTCAAGTCTTCACCTCCTGTAGACTCTTTACCAGCCGACACTCCCCCAGGAGATCCGAGGAGTTGGAAGTAGAATTATGACCACTTTGTAGCCCACCCCTCCCAGCCGGGCCCTCTGGGAACATCCATGACCCTTAAGGGCCACTGTCCTGTTTGGAGAAGGAAAATTGGAGGCCCAGTAAGGAAAGAACTTGTCTGAGGTCAGCCCGTAAGTTGGACAGCCCTGAAAATACTATGCAACTTGCCCTGGCTTCAAGAAGCAGCCTTCTGGGACCTGCACTTGGTCACAATGTGCCACCTGACCATTAAGCTGGGTCCACCACTTCCACAACCACAGGGGATGAAGCTGTCACATCCAGTGTTATGACACACCATCCCACATTACAGATGAGTAACCTGAGGCTGGGACTTTAGGAATTGACTTGCCCAGCTGTCCCTCCACATTCTCCCCTTTGAGAAGCCAGTCCTGCTGTGATGCTGGGGGTGGCTCAGCTGGCAGTGATGCTTGGTGTGAGGCTTTTCAGATCCTCTTTTCTGATGTTTCTGAGTTCCAGGGAAGTTCTGCTTCCCCAGGTGATTCTGGAAGCTCACTGGATCCACCCAGAGAAAGGAGGAGAACCCTGGCACTTGTTTCTCCTTTCTCTTCCAAATGGGTTCAGACAAAAGGACAGCCCTCCAGAGCTGGCTGGGAGCAGACTGTAGCGTTGAACTTACCCTTCTTGGAACCTGCTGTCTTGTGGCTAACTACAGATGTTGCCCAGCAGAGATGGGTGGCTGGAAGCCAGCAACCCCTCCCCAACTCTTTGAGTGGTTGCCGCAGTTTGGGCCAACTAGGATTCATTCCACAAGTATTTATTGAGCACCTACTGTGTACTAGCACCCTTCAAGATGCCCGGGATTTGTAGGGTTGACAGTCTAGCGGGGAACATGGATCTCAAATTGCATAATATCTTAGGAAGCAAAGGCTCTCCTGAAGGGTGAAGTTGACCAGAAAGAGGGTGTTTTGGGATAGGGCTGCTGCTTAACATCAGGTGTCCAAGAAGATAACATTTAAGTAAAGACCTGAAGGAGGCAAGAAACAACTATAACAGCAAAGAGAGTGCCAAGTGAAGGAACAGTGAAAGCAAAAGCCCTGCTCTGTGCCTTCTGTATGCACAGAGAGGAGGATAGCAGATAGGATGAGGTTAAGAGGGCAGAGAGGACATACAGTGTCACGCCTGAAAATGTGTACTTGTATAGATTTAGTTTTTACCCTGAGCACAGCGGGTGCCTGAAAGGATCCTGACAGATGACATGGACTAGGCACCCTAAGACTGTGCTGATGGAGAGCCTCCTATGCCAGGCATGATAGGGTGGGGAGAAATGTCTAGGTCCTGTGCAGATGTGACAGAAAACGAGGCTAGGGCTCACTGGTGCAGGATGTAAGAGGAGACTAGAACTCAGATTTATATGACCCCAAATCCAAGTTCTGAAATACTAGCTGTATGGTCACCATTTCATAGGTGGAAGACCAAGGCTCAAGGCTGGTGGGCAGCTAGGCCAGAATGGAGCCTTAGGCCTCCTGAGACTGTTTTCTGATGGCTAGAGGAGACCAGATAAGAGCCTGCCCTAACCCTTTCCTTCCCTCAGCCAGGGATAATCATTTTGTTTTTAGTAGGTGTGTTTGTTTGTTTGTTTGTTTGTTTGTTTAAAAATGTGTTTTTATTTCATTCATGTGGGTGTGTGGGTGGGTGTGGGCATGCCTATGGAGGTCAGAAGAAGGCATCAGATCCCTTGGAGCTAGTTGTGAACGGCTGGACGTGGGTGCTGAGAGCCCAACTTGGGTGCTCTGGAAGAACAGCAAGTGCTCTTAACCACTGAGCCAGCTCTCCAACCCCAGGGCCAACCACCTGTTGCAAGAAGGGTCATTCAACTCTCTCCAGAATCCCCCTACCCCTCACTTTACAGATAGGAAGACTGAGACCTGGTATAACAAGAACTGAGCCTAGCTGGTTTCTCCAGTTCTTGGGTGTTCAGCACTACCCCCATAATGCTATTCTCAGATCTGGAGCACTCAGAGCCCAGCCAAAACTGAGTCTATGTCACCAGGTAGCAGTGTCTACTAGCTCACTACACATGTGCTGGGGGGTATAGTTGATAGTGCCTGCCCCATGATGGTAGGCAGTCGGGAAGCTTCTGGTGAAGGGACAACCAACCCAACCTTTTGTTGGCTGCTGTAAGGAGGGGCCACTGTAGGGGGTTGGGGTGGAGGCAGCTTGAGCCTGCTGGCACATCTGAAAACCAGCCCAGGTGCCTGCTCTAGGCTTGGATAGACACTTCCTGGGGGTTTGGCTGTGCTTTAGGGATCCAACCAAAGGGCCAGGGGCCAGAGTCTGAGATGGCCAGTTTGCTTCCAGCCCCAGCATGCATCTGATAGAAAGTAATTTTTTTTTTTTAGATTTCCTGGGTGTCTATCCTGGATGGGGTTCTGGGGATATGGTGGTGACTTAGTCTCTGTGACCACCAGACACCAAAGAATTCCTGAACTGCCCAGGTCTTTGTACAAACCAGGTTGCCTCCATGGGATTAAGAGCAGAAACATACCAAAGAGAAGAAAGACACTAGCAAGTTGACAGGGGCTCAAGCCCCACTCCTCCCCCAAGATTTATGCTACAATATAAGCTGGAGTCTCTGGTGGCCCACAAGACCTACATGGTGTGGCCCTAGGACCCACTGACTTAGCTTCCTAAACTCCCTGACCCTGACTCAGGCCTAGTCACTTTGGCCTCCTTGCTGTCCCTTGAACATCTGGCCCCAGGACTTTTGCCCTCTATTTTTCTGATCTGGACTGCTCAGTCCCATGGGTCCCTATGGGTCCCTCATCCCTCAGGTCTTTGCTCAAGAGCAAGACACCATCCTTATAATGACAGCTCCCACCCTACTCCCTACCCCTTTTTTATAATACTCATGTGCCCATCTCTTGGGAATCCTAGATCATGAGGGAATGCTGTGCCACTTGCCCAGGACCCCAAATATAACCTGAACATGGTGGGTAGTCAGTGACTCTGGGGGCAACTAAGTGGCCAAGGCACATAAGCAGATCCCTTGGTGAGGGGTCAATCCTAAAATAGCCCCCCTCTGTGTTCATCCCTGGTGAGTTTAATTGACCCCAACAGGTGCAAAGCTAGGCCTGGGTCCCTTGTCTTTCAGCTATGGTAGATGGCAGCAGAGGTTACATCTGGGCCTTGGCCAGGGCAGTGGGCACAGCCACAGAACAGGTCATTTCAAAAGGGTTTCAGTGCAGAGGAAGGACATGGCCATTGTGGGCCTGACTGAGATAGGAGAGAACATTCTAGGTCTGGAAGTGGGAAGTAGAGCAAAACTTAAAGCCAGCCATGGTGGTTATATATCCATAGTCTCAGCACTCTGGATGTTATGTGTCTTGGATCCCATGAGTTTCCCTCTGGAAATGGGGAGTCATAGAAGCCTTGCACCTGCCTAGACCGTATGCTGGATATGATTCTCTGCTGAATTTGTCATATCCCTTCGACACCTGATGCAGGCAGAGGGGCCAGACAGCATTTAGGAGCTGATTCCCTGGCACATGAACATTTGAACACACGTAAAACACAACTTGCTTGAAAGTTAAAATACATGAAATAAAACTTGCTTTTAAAGAGTAGAAAAATCAGAGCCAGGCACTAAAGTGCACACCTTTAGTCCCAGCACCCCAGAAGCAGAGGCATGTGGATTTCTGTGAGTTTAAGTCCAGCCTGGTCTACATTGTGAGTTTCAGGCCAGCCAGAGCTTCATAGTGAGACTCTATCTCAAAAACACAAACAAACGGACAAAAGAGTAATCAAGCTGAGCCTGTTCCATAGTAAGTTTTAGGATGGCCTAAGCTCATTGCACTTGGGAGACAAAGGCAGGTGGATCTCTGTGAGTTCAAGGCCAGCCTGGTCTACATAGTGAGTTCCAGGCCAGAAGGAGCTACAGAGGGAGACCTTGTCTCAAAAAGACCAAAAAAAAAAAAATGTGTTCTAACCTTTACTCTTGGCCTTTCACCCTAGCTCTGCCTCTACTTTTTCTTTCTTAAATTGCATCCCACTCATTGTACCCTTCCCAGCTGAGAGGTTTTGTCCTGGGCGACCCCTGGCTTAATAGCTCTACCTCTCCCGGTGCCAGCTTTTGAATTTCCTTCATACACAGGCACTTCCCTTAAATCACACACCTTGGGTTTGACTTCAACTTGTTTCTCTCGTTGAGCATATCCCTGCTACCAGCAGATTTTCCTTGGGGACACCTTTGGACGAGTGTCGGCCTAGCATCTCCCCATCAGGACTAGGGTGGCTACTTCACTGGGCTTCCTGCTTCTCTTAGGCTATTGCCCCACAGCAGCCAGAGGAGTCTGTGAAACCACGAGTCACCTCCCATCCTCCTCCACTGAGGGCCCAGCTCATGATAGCCAAGAAGACTCTGCAGGACCTGCCCCTGTCAGCCTCCTGCTGTCTCTTCACCTCCCACTCCTTTGGTCCACTCCAGCCACACCAGCGTTCTCACTGCCCCTCACACAGGCCCTCTCTGCCCTGGAGCCATCTCACAGCTGTTCCTACTGGAGCATCTCCCCCATCCAGCATCTCCCACACCCCTGCTTCATCCTCTGATGTGTTACTCACTTGCTTGTTATGTTTATCATTCCTCCCCTTCTAGTCAGTTCCATGGAGGCGGATCTCTGGGTCTTTCTTGTTCCTTGCTGTATGTCCAGCACTTGAACAGTGTTTGGGGCTTATTAAACATTCAATGGATGTATGAGTAGATGAATGGGTGATGAATAGATGGATGGACGGATAGATAGATGATAGATAGATAGATAGATAGATAGATAGATAGATAGATAGATAGATGAACAGGTGGGTGGGTGGGCAAACAGAGGGAGAACTACAAATTGTGATTGGAGCAACTTCCTGAGTAATTTTTGCCAGTGGGGTTTTGCATGGACTAGTGAACCCCTATCCTGGCAGGCCTGGAAGGGGGTGAAGACCCTTTTGCTCCTGTTTCCTGTGCCTGGCATTGGTATCTTGTGGACTCTTAATCCTGATTGTATCTCTTGACCAGGGTTTGGCAGGAGTTCTGCTGTGGATGGTATGCTGCCTTTCCTGTCACCTTCTCCTTTGCTGGAGTCATGAGTTTTCGGCGCTCTGTTGTGTCCCAAACTGGACCTTAGGGGAAGGGGTTTAGCTGGGAACACAGAGCTTGGCTGGGGGTAGGGGCTTGTGGGGTATTGTGTGTTATTGGCCCTATACTAAGGTTAACACAATGTGCCCTCCTTGAGCCCTACACAAAGCCCTCTGAGGAAGAACATGTCTCTACTCTGGGGATGTAGAAGCTGAGGCACAGAAGATATTAAAACTTCAATGCTTAGGGACTAGAGAGACAACTCAGTGGTTAAGAGCACTGGCTGCTCTTCCAGAGGACCCTAGCACACTGGTAGTCTGGCTCCAGATACCATCCCTCACCCCATCCTCCAGATTTGGGTTTGCCAGGGATGACCAAGCTCCTCAGGCCTCTATAGGCCATACCTCAGCTGTCTTCATCCCTGCTCCAGGATGTCATGACCAGGCTGTCCTACTTTACGAGTATGTGGGCAAGCGGATTGTGGACCTACAGCACACAGAGGTACCAGACGCCTACCGAGGGCGTGGCATCGCCAAGCATCTGGCCAAGGTAGGATAGGTGGCAGACTAGGACATGGATGCCACCCTCCCCTTCCCTTGCAGGAGAGACTGGGGCTGGTGACTAACTCCAGCTTGCTTCTTGACCACAGCATAGCCTCACAGGCCCATTTGGCCAGTGGGTTGCAGCTGGTGGGTAGGTATTGGACACTGCTCATCATCCTAGTCTTCTGCAGCAAGTGGCCACCATTCTGGGCCTAGGGTCTCTGCCTTGGGACCCAGGATCTAACAGTGGTTGATTAGTAAGTTCTAATGGACAAATGGATGAATGTTTCAAGTCAGTGGACTTATGCCTAGGTCCTATCCCTACTCCTGCCTCTCCAAAGCACCTCAAACTCCAGCCTGCCTGGCCAGGAGGTCTGGGCTCAGTGAGGGTAGGTACAGGTAGAGCAAAGAATGGCTTTCAGCCAGGCATGGTGGCACACGCCTGTAGTCCCAGCACTTGGGAGGCAGAGGCAGGCAGATCTCTGTGAGTCAAGGCCAGCCTGGTCTACATAGTGAGCTCCAGGCCAGCTGGGGCTACAGGGAAGCCCTGTTTCAAAAAGACCAAAAAAAAAAAAAAAAAAAAAAAGAATGGCTTTCAGGTGAACATTCCCCCTTTGCTCCTAGGGGAGTCCTCTACTGGCTTCCTCATCCTCTGCCCCGTCCCACTCCCTGCTCCTGGCTCCACTGGGCTCAGAGGCCTCGTCCACCCTCCCTGTGGTGCTTGGTGAGCCTCAGCCCTTTCATACAAGACATGGCTACAATAGCTGGTCTGTGGCGTTAGCCCAGTATCAGGGAGGGAACTCAAGTCACTGACATGGGCAAAGTGGAAGGGTGGCCACACTGGGGAACAAGCAGAAGGAGCTGATGATCACCTGTCTTCTCTGGCTGTAGTGGGTTGAGGTCCCCATGCAAGCTGCAGCTCTGACTACTCTTCTCCCTCTGCTGGTCCAGGCTGCTCTGGACTTCGTGGTAGAAGAGGACTTGAAGGCCCACCTCACATGTTGGTACATCCAGAAGTATGTCAAGGAGAACCCCCTGCCGCAGTACCTGGAGCACCTACAGCCATGACCCTGACAGCTGCACGCAGGAGTACACCCCACAGGCCTTCCATGTGGGCCTCACCCAGCTCATGGGCTCTCAGGAACCTGCTCCTGTGGGGACAGGCTCAGAGTTATTCTTTTAAGGACATTCGTCTGCATCCCTCATTCAAGGTTTTGGGGGCCAGCTGCTGGCAAGGATATACGGAGGTCCAGAGTGGGACGAAGGGTAGGCCAGGCAGGCAAGATCCCCTTCCCACAGAAATTCTCCAGCTATGCAGAGGTCTCCCTTCTACCCGCTGCACACTCCATCCGGCCCAGGCTAGTGGGTCCCTGCTCTGATCAGCAGGAAGCTGATGTGTGGTCCCTCCTACCACCTTCTGGAGTTGTGTCCTGCAAATGAGGAGGATGCTTCTGGAACCAAGAAAAACAAGAAAACTTTTGTGCCAACATCCCAAGGTGGGGTGCCAGGCCTCAGTGGTACCATTGCTAACTTTCTCAGACTTCTGTGCCCTGGCACAAGCACTGAAACTGCAGCAGATGGCAGCCTTCCCTGATGTGTGAGGACAGTGGATAGAGCTCTGGCCCGGACCTGGCTGTGCATGCACACTGACCAGAGTGTGCAGACAGGGCACGCAGCAGTGGGTGTCTTCCTCTCCTTGGTACCGACACCTCTGAGCTCTCATGTGGGCTCTGTAGGAAAACAAAGTCCCCCCATCCAAGGATATGCCTTGCCATAGACCCATCTGCCAGAGTCAGTTCTGAGACTTGGCTGTGATCTGCTGAACAGTGCAGCATCCCTGGCTGCTTCTGGTCTTTCAGTTGCACCTGCTTTCTTGGAGGTCACCTTGGCAGGGAAGTGGCATACTGTCCCCCAGAATCCATTTGTGGCCTCTTTTTTGCTGTCCTGGCCTATGGGTATCTTCCACCTGCCTCTCCACTGCTGGAGTTGCAGTTCAGAACCCAGCCACAGCAGCTCAGGTCCACCCCAGATATTTGTGTACAGACATCTTCCCACCCCACAGGAGGAATACTGAAAATTGTACCAGGAGGCCAGGCAACCTGCCCAGGAGTCCCTGAGCTCAGAGCTCTTGTGCCTCACCACTGTGAGTCATGGGCATGAACTGGTGTGGTCACCACCATCCTTATCTCCCTACCTCCTGCATCCCTGGATCTTACCCCATTCTTGATGCTCCTATTCCAGCCTCCAGAAATTCCAGAATAACCCAGCACAGCCCCACTTGTCCCCCTTGGCTCTGTCTGCCAGGGGCTCTTTTCAGGGATCAGAGAAACCCCTGGACCTCTAAGAAGACATTGCTGACAGTGTTCTGATAGCAGGTGACTCCCTGTAGTATAGTGGCAGTGTGTCCACAATACAGTACTTGAATGAGGGTCCTGAGTCATGTGGGCCCAAGAAGAGTGGCTGGGCTTAATCTGTGGGTTTGTCTCTAGTTCCTGCAGTGTGACCTGGGCATTCTCACTGCCTTGCCAGCTTTAAAGTACCACTGGCCCTGCCACACAGCCTCACAGTATAGCAATAACCATGTCTCAGCCCTCCCCCCCTTGGCTAACACTGCCCAATTGGGCCACTCTGGTGCTACCCTATCCCCAACCCCCAATACTTGCTCCATGTCCTGAGATTCTAAGAGCCCAAGGTTAGGGACCGATCACTCTGGGCCTCATGTTCCTTCAGCAGGTCTGTGCTGTGGCCAGATCTTACCCTAGGGCTTCTCCTCTTTGCCCAGCCGACTCATGTGCCTTTCCTACTCTGGACCTGCCATCGGTGGTGTCTTGGCCAAGCCTGGTCTTCAAAACTGCAGCCCACCTCACTTTTTGACTTCTGAACACATTGCATGACATGATCAACATACTGTTTATCCCACTGGTAACTGATGAAAGACTTAAGGCACAGTGAGGAAGTCAGGGAGCCCCAGATTGAGGGAAGAAGGAAAATAGGTTGTGTGGGGTCCTCCCCCATGTCCAGGCTGTTCCTGGGTCCTCAGCACCACCAGCATAGTGGAACAGTTCCACTTCAAGGGAAAAGAGCCAGGATCTGAAGGGTCCCTGGCTGAGGTCTCCCAGTATAGTAGTGGCATTAACATTGGGATCTCAGCCCCATTCTGAGCAACTTTGCCATCTGCATCTCTTTTCCACACTACCTGAACACCCTGTACTTCCTTCAGAGGCCACACTCCCCATTGCTTGGGCAACAACTTGCTGGGGATTCATGAAAGAGATTATGATGCCACACCAACTTCTGACACATGAGCTGTTCTTTGTCCTGAAGTTGATCCTTTGGGGATTTCTGGCCCAGAGCAGGGAGCCTTACCCAGTATTGGTAAACACGGGCACTACAGGAAGTTAAAAAGCCTTCCAAAACAAGATCACAGTAAAAAGGGAATCACCAGCCAGAAACCTACACAGAAGCCTCAGGGTCCAAAACCAGTTCCTATCTTCTAGATGGTGCCCAGTGTATGTATTGTGTCTGATGTTTACTTTGGGAGACAAATAGCCTCAGCGATACCCTGATAAAACTTCTAGCAACTTCCTTGCTTTCTTGGTGGGCTGAGATGGGACTGTCTTCAGCTGTAAAGGTGCATGCATGGCTTATTGAGAATGACCAGCATCCAGAAGTCTGGCTTGCATATGGGGCTGTGTTTGTAAGCAGGAATACTCTGGAACACTTGGCCACACACTGTTCCTCAGATCAGGACTCAGGCTGGTTCAAGTCCTCCCAGATGTCCTTTTACTAGTCTCAGGGTCCTACTTGCAGCTCAATGCCCTAAGTTTCATAAAAGATCTGATGAGGCTATGAATTCGACTTGCAACTCTGCAACCTCCAGGATGACATTTAGGGATTTCAGCTGTATCTGTCCTATGGCTTCAAGATATTAAAGATGCTTTTCTGGTTGTCAAAGTTGCTCTCTGGTTTTTTTGTTTTTTTTTTTTTTTTTTTTTTTTTTTTATCAGTGTCTTGCGATAAACAGTTTGTTCTGTCCATTTTCATTGTTAGCAGTCAGTCTGCCGCCGACCCCCAGTCTAGGAGTGAGACCCCATGACTCCCATTGGGTCTTCCAGGCTTTGCCTTCAATGAACATTTCATCCAGCACTTACAACATGAAAACCATAGCCCTAGTTTTGCTACCAGTCTATTTTGTAATGCACAACAGAACTATGATTAAGCAATTTGTAAAGAACAGAACTTTATAATTCCTGAGTCTGGAGAATCCAAAGAGAAGGAACCACATCTGGCTGGGGCTTCTTGTTGCACCATCCTGTGGCAGGCAGCAGAAGAGCAAGGTGATATGTCCAGACACCCTTTACAAGAAGGCCACTCCTGCACAAATTAACCCATGCCTAAGAACTGAGTCATCGTGAACCAAAAACCTTAAAGGTTCCACCTTTCACCATGATGGATTGGGGTTGCGTTTTCCAATGCATGACCCTTGGGGTACACATTTAGACCATAGCACTTCATGCTGTGAGATTTCAAGTGTTATATTTTGGTTGCTGTGATGACCATGACCAAAAGTGACTTATGAAAGAGTTTTATTTGGGCTTAGGGTTCTAGAGGGAGATTCTAAAATGGTGGGGAGGCATGGCAGCAAGCAGCAGGCATGGCGGCAGGAGTGGGAAGCTGAAAGATCACAAGAGGGAAGCAGAGAGCAACTGGAAGTGGGGCAAGGCCTAACCTCCCCAAACAGCACTATCAACTAGGGAGCAAGTGTTTAAATACCGGAGCATTATGGGGGCATTTTTCATTTAAACCACATTCTACTTCATTAGGTTCATGGCCATATCATAATTCAAAATGCATCCAATCCAACTTTCAAAGTCTCCATAAACCTAAACAGTTTTAACACTTGTCGCGAGCCACGACTCTGTCCAGCAGAGCCGAGGAAAGACGACACAGATACCAAGGTGAGGTTCAAGCTTCTTTTTCTCTTCCTTCCTTTATTCTCTCTTATTCTCTCTCATATTCTCTCTCTTTATTATCTCACCCACTACTCACACCTTTGTTCTCCTATATCTCTCCTTTCTCTCACACACTTCAGCTCTTCATATATCGTTTCCAACAGCCCTCTCCCCAGCCAGGACCAATCAGGACACACACACATGCAGCGGGCAGGCAGAGTGCAGCTCATTGGCCACGTAGCAAGATCATCAGGCAGGCAGCACATGTTCGGGCTCACCATGCTTCAGGGAGTTGGAGTAAACAAGCGAGGATCACGAGCCTTGGCAATCAGCCGAGAGTTGAAGTAAACAGCACGAGGTTTGGCAGCCAGCCAAGGCGCCATCTTTGGCTGGCTCGGCCGTGCTCGCTTCCCACAAACACTGTTTAAAAGTCTTCTGAAACTCCTCTCTTAACTATGACCCCTTGTAAAATCAAAAAACCAGTTACATACTTAAAACATACAATGGCACAGAATATACATTTCCACTCCAAACTGGAGAAATGGCATACTGAGGAAATTCTGAACAAAAGCAAGACTGAAACCAAGCAGGGAAAATCCAAATTCTGGGACTTTAGTTTCAAAGGCCTTAGATGGCTCAGCAACTTCAGTTTTGCTGTCTGCAACATGCATATCTCCGTTGGGCTAATTCCATTCCCTGCATGCAGCTCTCCTTGGCAGATATCACAGCTCTGGCATCTCCAACATCTTGGGGTCTCCAGGCTTCAGCTTCACATAATGGCATCTTAGGGCCCCCTAACCCTTTCCAGGGCCTTCATTCAGGGAATTCCCTGCCACATGTAGCCTGGCCTTAATGGCTCTCTCAAACCATGAGGGAGAATCCATGCCCCATTCACGCTTGCATTTTTTGATACCTCCAGAACCAGTACTACATGGATAAAATTGCCAAATTCAGCTGCCAGCTGGAAATGGACCTTTCTCCCTTTGATCACATTAGCAGTATCTTTAGTTTGCTGAAGCAATTGCTTTCTAGGGGCAAGCACCCCTTTAGGCTTTCTCCTTTCATAAATTGGAAGTTTAGCTAGGTGGGGTCCTGCCCTGAGGGCACCCTTCCCATTGTTCCAGTGCAGAGCAGGATGCCTCTCCTTAATGGCACTAATCTCTTTAAGAATTACAGCCTTTTACATGGGGCGTGGTGCTTTGAGTCTGGGGAGACAGAGGCAGGCAGATCTCTGTGAGTTCAAGCCTAGCCTGGTCCAGAGTGACTTCCAGGCAGGCTGGGACTAGGAAGACCCTGTAAAAAAAAAAAAAAAAAAAAGAATTACAACCTCTCAGCACATGCTTTGGCTGCAACATTAAGCTTCCTAGTGCTCTTTCTCCAAACTGCAATCTTGTATTTCTTTTTGCCCCATTTGCATTTTTTCATTGTAGACCTGCATAATAGTTATCAGTAGTGACCATGCCAAAGACTCAACATTATGCTGTCTTGAAATGTCCTCCACCATAGCAAATCCTGAATCCATCACTCTAGAGTCCAGCCGTGGAAGACAAAAAAAAAAAGAGGAGGAACCCAATAGAAGGATGATTTTGGAAGCCCTTGTCAAGAAATTCCAATGAACTCTCATATGAACATTTGAAAATTGCCCTCTTCCCTGTCTAGAACTTGTAATGCAAACTGCCCTTGCCTTTACTTCTCCTTCACATCTCCTATTCACAATTCAAGGACTTTCTTTTCCCCTTAGAGACAAGAGTTATGCAATTTGGGAGTCTTTTAGATAGACCCACTGAAGGGGTACTCCAATTGCCTCACCCTGCATCCCTGTTCAGCATGGAAGAAGCCAGAGTGGTCGGCGTCCCTAGTCCCTATTGGTAATTTGGGTAACCCCTTCAGAGGATGGTGTGATAAGAATAGGAGGTAGCAATTGGCTAGGCGGTTAGGGTAAAAAGACCCCAAAGAACAAGAATGCTAATAGGGACATAGGCCATAATTTTATGTCCTCCAAGGGCTAATTCTCAAGCACAGGCACATTCACTCGTTATCTTTTTGGGTAGAGTAACAAATTGAGGTTGCCAAGGAAATGAGATCGGGTGCCCAGGTTACAAGACACAAGAGCACATGGTTTTGCTGAGGTTAATTAAAAGTCATTAGTCCAGATTATGTCCATTTTATAAAAGTCCAATACCTACAGATGGGTAAATGGGCAGGTGGGTGGATGGGTGGACAGGTTGGTAGATGGACGAATGGGTGAGTGGGTGGGTGGCTCATGCAAGTTATCGTGTGCAAACAGAAAAAAGGAAGGTAGAGGGAGTTTGCAGTCTATCAGTGTTGGAAAAATGAACTAACACTCTGTGTTTAACCAGTTTTCTGTTGAGAGCATTAATTTATAAAGTGATGGCTTATTTTAGCTCATGATTTTGTAAATTCCAGCCCACAATCAGGTGGACTCACTATTTTATGACTCTGGTGGTGTGTTGCATTGTGATAGCCCGAGCTCCTCCATTTTGTGTGAGACTGCCATCTTGGTAAGTCATTCCAGACCCTACCCTGGCCCTGGGTCCAACAGGAACACACCTATATAATTCTGGGAAGGCTCCTATTAAGACTTAATCTGGCTTTTGTGACCGCTTGCTTATCTGGCTTCAGTAATTACTTGCTTGCCTACCCACAGGAACAAACATGTGACTGCTTGTTTTTGAGAAACTACTCATCATGATGTGGCTTTTGCCTTTAAAAGCTTTACTTTCCTCTGAGTAAGTGCTGCATTCTCTAAATCCTGGCCTTGAGAATGTAGTCGTTTGCCAGCTAAATAAAATTAGGCTAATTTGGAACGTCTGGAGACTGATTGGTCCTTCCCAGGAGTCTTGGCACCATAACAGCATGACAATGGCAGGGAGCACTTTGTAGAGCCAAAACACTTACTGCATGGCCAGGAAATACCACAGAAGGAGCAGAGTTCCAGTATCACTTTTTTTTGGTCTTTTTGAGACTGGGTCTCCCTGTAGCCCCAAACTCACTATGTAGACCAGGCTGGCCTGAACTCACAGAGATCTGCCTGCCTCTGCCTCCCAAGTGCTGGAATTAAAGGTTTGTGCCACCATGCCTGGCCTCCAGTATCACTTTCAATGGCACAGAATCAGTGACCTAACTTCCTCCCACTGGGATCCACCTCTTTTTTAATTTTATGTGTGAGTGTTTTTCCTGCAAGTATGTAGGTGCATCTGTGTCCCTTGGAGGTCAGAAGAGGGCATGGGATCCCCTGGAACTGGAGTTATGGATGGTTGTTAGCTACCATGTAGGTACTGGGAACTGAATCCCTAGGCCTCTGCAAGAGCAGCCAACACTCTTAACTGCTGAGCCATCGCTCCAGCCCTTAGGCTCCACCTTTTAAAGGCCCCATCACCTCCCAATAGCACCATGACCTTGTCTTTATCACAAGAGCCAACACCAGATCCCAATGTTACAAACTTCAAAGAGCCATCAATAAGACTGCAAACGGTTCAGCAGCAAAGGCCCATGAACACTTCCTGGTGCTGTGGACAAAAGCCTTCACCCCCACCAAGGATCACAACTGCTCCCTCAATGCCCTTGAGGTAAGTAAATCAAGACAGAGAAATATGGGGGAGAGGAAGCAAAACTTTGAAACTTCTAGGATCCATGTTAGTGCTGGAAAACAGAACTTACAGAAAGGAAAACTCCCCAAATTCCTGAGGGAGGATGTTTTGTTGCTAGGAGGTCAGGTGGCCTATGGCTACAGAGCAAAGCCTTGGGCTCTAGACAGGAAAAGAGCCCCAAAACCTTGTGCTCTCATGCATATTGAGCATGAGGAGAACTGAATAGGCAGCGGGGCCCTCCTGGAAGATAGATTCAGGTCCATCCAGGGAATCCCGACAGGCGGGGACAGATTCTGCCATTGCTGGGCTTCAGGCTGCTGTGTGTCCTCCATTCTGCTATTGTGACCTTAATGTGCATTCTACTTATACTCCACCTCTTATTTGATTTCAG